CTCCTAATTTAATATCCTTTTATTAAATAATCCACAGACTCTAATTTGTGCTTCCCATACACTCATGGGTGCGATGAGGCCACCGACTGTGTTGGTGAACTACCATGTACCACACCCTTAGAGAAAACGGACTTTCTGTCCCCTATGTGGTTTTGGGGGGAGATAACAATAATACTTTGGGAATAACATTGAAGTAATGGCTTTACAACATTATAAATGTAGTAAATTACTGAATACTTTAAAATGATTGTCTTTTGTCACATAACATTTACCTTAATGAAATGGATACTATTATTTTCTTTCTTATTAAATATGTAAGCTTCTAGGGGGAACTGGCTGTAAATACTTCATGATTATCTATTTGAAATTCAAAGAGGGAAAGTGATGGTTTTAAGATCAAGTCTTATTTTCAAACTTGAAACTTTCAAGGCTTTTAAAATATGATACAAAAGTCAAATGAACATATTAATGGTCAATACAAAAAAGTAAGCTTTTTTTCTTGAAGGAGGTAGAATACTTTATATTCTTATTAATGTAGTAAGTTGGCATCTAATACACTCTAATAATGTGTTGTGAATATAGTTCATAGTTTTCAGACATCACATGATTTAAACTTTGCAATAGCAATGCTTGGTATATATTAAGTACTGAGCAAGTATTTGTGATATGAATTAACAATCATACTAGTGAGAGGCATATGAAAACAGCTGAGGTTGAAAGAGATTAGGCGGGCTGGAGAGATGGCTCAGCGGTTAAGAGCATTGCCTGCTCTTCCAAAGGTCCTGAGTTCAATTCCCAGCAACCACATGGTGGCTTGCAACCATCTGTAATGAGATCTGGTGCCTTCTTCTGGCCTGCAGGCATAGACACAGACAGAATATTGTATACATAATAAATAAATAAATAAATAAATAAATAAATAAATAAATAAATAAATATTTTTTAAAAAGAGAGATTAGGTGACCTGTCCTATGTCTTCTAGCTTGTGATTAACAGTAGCAGGAATCAAAAAATTATAGCTCAACTAATATATCTACAACACAATTCCTGCACTTAAGGCTCAGAGATCATTATAAAAGAGGGAGTGGAAAGACTGGAAGCGCCAGAGAACAGGAAGTTTAATGTGAGATTATGTGTCCTAGAAACGTCAGAGAGGTTACATCCATGCATTCTTATCAATAAGACTGCCTAAACAAGATCCGAATGAGGATGACAACAGTAGACATGCTAATATGGAAGGGGAAACCTCAGGAGGCCTCAACAAAGAACTCCAGGCAACTAAGGAGAGCAGGAGATATGGTCTTCCCAGGGAAGAGCACATAAATTGATTATGCAATACAAAATGGTCAGGTCTGAAAACATATACATACAACTACATGATACAGACTGATCAGGTTGTACCTATGTATTTACGAGTGTGTGTGTGTATGTGTGTGTATGCATGTGTGTATGTATGCATGTATGTGTGTGTATTACAACAATTAAGGAAAAAGCCATGAATTTGAAACAGTGCAAGGGAGTGTGTGGGAGGAATTGGAGGGAGGAAAAGGAAGTGGGTAATCATGTAATAATTTTATAATTAAAAATATAAAATAAAAATAGAAGTACAAAATTATCACCTTTAGTTTCAGTTATAGCCTGATATTTAGGAGAGATGAGATTCGCTTCAGAAAGAAGTTAGCTCTTTCATATTACTTTTTAAGTCATCTCAAAACCCTAATTTACTGTTTTTGTTACATTGATAAAGGAATGGCTTTTTTATCAGGCAGACTTGACTTACAGTCCTCAATGGTATACTAAATGTAACTTTAGGAAGTTTTGATTCACCATTTCTGAAATCCAGGTCATACATTTGTTCAAAGATTTTAAAATGAAGGACCAGCAAGAGGGCTCAAAGTGTAAGGGCATTTGCCATCAAGTCTGAGGGCCTGAGTTCAATCCCCAGAACTCATATGCTGAAAGGACATAACCAAGTCCTACACTTCCTGATTTCCACAGCATACTGTGACATATCACTCCAAACAACAAAACTCACTCTCTCTCTCTCTCTCTCTCTCTCTCTCTCTCTCTCTCTCTCTCTCTCCATTTAAAACTTTAGAAAACATTTAATATTGTAAAGTGGACATGGCATCACAGAATGGCGGAGCCAGAAACAGAAGTCAAGGCCAGGCCACTTATATTACTGATTTTTATTTTTTGACATGGGTTCTACCTATATTATAGAGGCTTGTTTTGAACTCCTAGACTCAAGTGATCCTCCTATCTCAGACTGAGAATCTTTGCTGGGCTTAGCCTAGTTTAAAGAATGCCAACTGATACTAAATTGTTAAAAAAAAACAAACGTCTGACTTCAAACTTTCCTGGTAGCTGAGGATGTCCTTGGGCTCCTGATCCTCCTGCCTCTACGTCACAAATACTGAGACTACAAGTATTTGCTACCACACCTATTTTCTCACACTCTCGGTTTTACCTCAGCTTGTTGACTCAGTTTACATATCTGCACAGTGGGGATAATAATGGCACCTACCCTATATATCTGTGAGGATTGAATGAGGTGATATATAGACTGGTAATATAGCTACATTAATGAGGACATTTTGTTTCCTGGCACAAAGTAAGTACTCTATGTAAGAGCTAACTCTCCCCATTACTGATTTTTAACATGATTTCTTGGGGAACTCATATAAGTCAGTACTAAAGGACTTTAAAGTAGGTTTAACAGTGTTTACAATGTGGCATTGTTCCTAGGAGCAGTGTACATACAATAACAACATACAATAACAACGGGGCTGAACTTTTGATCTCTAGTTAATCATTCAAAAAAGCTAACGTGATAAGGTCAGAGAACAGGACAACTTCCCAGTCACTGTAGAGTCTACTTCATGTACCTTAATATTGAGATGAAGAAAGGGAAAACAGCCTAAATATCGATCCATGAAAGCAACAAACAAAATTTATTTGTAAAAGTCTTTTCTGTATTTCCATAACATCGTCAAGAAGGCCAGATAAAAGTCAAATCTTAATGTATAGAGTTGACTAGAAGGAAGTATTATATCAGAAAAACATGGTAACTTCTTGCCTCCCTACTTCACCTAAATCTGTGTAGGGGTGGGGTTTACCAAATATGTAATAGAAGGAGCTGTATAAGTGTAGTTGGGTCCTGGGGCTGAAAAGTAGCGCAATAACCATAGTATTTCAGGTGTGAAGTTAAGATGTGAGGAAATAAATGAGTCATGGGAAAGCAAATTTGAGATGTCTGATGGAGCAAGTGGGGTGGCAATAAGAAGCCCACATTGAATAAAAAGGAGAAATTGATGGCCACAAGTGTATGGATGCTGTTGGCAATGGAATTCTTGTCCTGACGTGATAATAGGTATTAATGAGTTCTCATTTGAAAAGATATGGGGACTCTTCAATGGTTTGTGAGAAATTTCTCTTGAAAGGAGAAAGGACATATTATGAAAATTAATTTGAGTTTATGGCTATGCTAGAAGGCCATGTGCAATAGACAAAGGACTTGGGGCCTAGGAATCTAAGTGTATGGTGGTGGGTAAATACAAGGAAGGGTCTTGGATTTTGTGTTGTGAAATAATGTAGAATTCTGAGTTTGAAAGAACGAAAGATATGGTGGGAAACATATTATAAATAAGGAGGGTGGCCGACCATGCCATAAGAAAGGCCCAGCATCATTAAAGGGGGTGGTCTAATAAGAGGAAATGAGAAATGATATTCCCATTGAAAAGGGGCAGAAAGTGTTACAGACTTCAGCAAAAAAGAACTGAATTTCCCAGGCTTGGAAGGCAAGGCGGCAAGTGCACTCCTAGAGGAAACAAGGACAAACACCAGAGACAGCTAGTGACAGAATGCGGTGGGGGCAATGGGAAAACACTGGAGGGGTGGAGAATGTCTCTCAGAAAAGATAACAAGGAAAAATCACCACTCTCATGACTTCTTAGTATGCTCTGTTCTACACGTGGTGTGTCAGAGAATAATGCGGGCCTTCTAATGGGAAGGAGTTGAACGCTTCCCAAAGTGGAAAGGGAAGAGGCTGGAGGTCACCCTAAAGTGGTACAATTAGAGCCCTAGAATGAGAAGAGTGTTGTGTAGAACCCCACACCACTGTAAGAATTCTGAAAATGAGGAAAGCCCACGGGGAAGGAAAGAGAAATGCTTATTAACTGTGTTAATCATGAGGTAGAACAGAGCATACTGAGAAGTCATAAGAAGGTGAACATATGAAGCCTCTCTCTCTCTCTCTCTCTCTCTCTCTCTCTCTCTCTCTCTCTCTCTCTCTCTCGTGTGTGTGTGTGTGTGTGTGTGTGTGTGTGTGTGTGTGTGTGTGTCTTAGTCTTAGGGAAAGGATGGCGGGATATTACTGTAGGAAAAGTGAGATTGAACAGAATGCTCTGATGGGAGAGGGAGAGGGATCATAAGTGGGTGGAGATGGGAAACATGTCAGCCTGTATGTGCAGAGAGAAAAGTATGGGTCCCAATGTGGGAAAAAGGTGAGCTAATGTTAGAGTACAGGAAATAGTTTTGGATTCCTAGTAGGGAATCCCCAGCACGGAAGGAATCCTAGTAGGAGGGGAAAATGGTGGGACTCTTAGTTGGTTGTCTTGGTGGAGCGGGCACTTTAAGGACACAGGATATGGTGCTTCCTCAATTGATTGGGTGGGTTCAGAAGGAGAAGACACAGCCTAAGTGGTTACCCTGTACAGGAAAGGGGGGTTCTAGTGGGAAGAGCCAGGAGATTATCGTGGGGAGGGCAAAGAAATAAGAAAACCCAGAGGAGCGCTGAGGGCGACGTGGTGGGACCCTCGTGGCAGGGCACGTGGGAGATATTGTGATAAGCCCAAGGTTGTAGACTAGGAGTTTTTCTGGGAACGAAAGGAAAACTGCAGAGTGAGGGCTGAGCGCACTGGGGACATCAGTGGGAAGGATAGGGCAGACGATTATGTTAGAGCATAATTTCCCCACTTTTTGTGCCCAGCCCCACTTACCGAGACAGAGTTCAAAGACGTAGGCATAGTAGGACCAGAGAACGACGAGGACAATAACGAGCACTGGCACCCAGGACAGTACCCGGCGGCAGCACCACAGCCCCCCAGACAGAGCCATCTTCCAGCCCCTCCGCATCTTCGGCTCGAAGATCGACCGAGCAGGCCTGCTGGCGCCGGCCGGGAAAGGCTTGGGCGGCGGCTGGGAGGCGGGAAGGCGCGCTGTGCGGCGCTCCACTGCCTAGCCTGGCGGGAACGGTCCCCAAACCGTTGCCACCTGTGGGGCTGCGCTGCTCAGCGCGCCCCGCGTGGCACAGTACGTGTGAGTCACGGCTGGAGGTTCCGGGTGTGACGGGACAAAAGGGGGTTGCCAGGCAGTCCAGGCCGGTGGGCTCAGAGGGATTGAAGTCCCTCCCCTTTCCACCTTTCCCCCCACCCTCAACCCCTTGCTCGGCTCAGCTTGTAGGGCTGGACCTCTGCAAAACTGTTAAGCCTAAGAATTGTGGGTCCGCCCGTCTGCCCATACTGCACTGCGTCCACCTTCTCTTCAATTTCTCTTTTCCCTCTCTTCCTTCCCGTCTCCCCTTTTCTCTGCTGTCCCAATCCCCAAACACACAAGTACACAGAACTGTGTGAAAGATGCACACCACACAGTAGCATCTCTTGAGTTAAAGGTCATCCATCCCCATCCTCCACTGCTGCTTGAGCAGTATGCTTAACACGTAGTGCCGCAGTCTCTGCTGGGGTAAATCTCTTGACAGGACACTCCTTCCTCCCTTTCTGTCTTCCCTGCAGAATGAGCTTAGTATAGTTTCAGAATAAACACAATGGTGCAGAAGTCAAGCGAGGGCCACAAAAATGTTGTGCTCAGTAAAAACTCTAAAGGTAGAGTGCTGTTTGATCTAAGCTTTATTAATAAAGGCATTTTTTTTTTCAGGCAGAAGAGAATCGATGACCTTTCAAACCAGAAACATGTTTGAAAAGGCATGGCATAATGAGAATTCCAAAGTGTTCCAAGAACAGCTGATGTACCTTGAAGAGAGTTTATGGGAAAAGGAGAGAGTGGGGATGAGACTGAAAATAGAGTGCCGCCATGGTATGAGGGCTCTTCTGTGCCCTGTCAAACTGGGAACACTATCCTGAAAAGCAGAGCCTGAAGGTCTGCAGAGGTGGAGGGGCAATGGTGAGGTGTCACAATGGTATTTTTGTAAAACAATAGGCAGAATTTCTGAGAGGAAGATAGCCTGGGGCAGGGAGACCAACCTGCAGGCAATTTCATTCAATAACTAATTTTGTAGTCGGTGCTTTCTGTTAGGTCAACTTTAGTATAAATAAAAAATGACAAAGCGGGGACTGCCTGCCACCTGGAAACTCACGTCCTCATCCAGGTGACAGGTTGCTGTTTTTGACACAAGTACAATAATAGAAGTGTGATAGGTGGGCATCTATGTAATTCACACGCATTGTTTAAATGATTTCCAAAGGTCTAGTACATGAAGATACTATAATTTCGCTGGGACCCAGTTTTGACTTACATTCTGTGTAACTGATGTGTGGGAGCAAGAGGTTTTAAAAGGTTGTTTGGTGTTTGAAATGTGTGGTTATACATGCAATAATGTTCCTAAAGCTTTATTGTTGCTTTTCAGATGAAGATAAAGGTTGATGTTACCAAAGTAATAACATAATGAAATGCAGTGTATATTTTAGTTACAATATTTAATAGCCCGATCAGTTCTTTAGCTCTGAAGTTTTGACACAAACACTTCAGATTTCCATTAATCATGGATTTGAGGATCTTAGAACTTATATTTTGAGACCGTCGCATCTACTTTGTTTAAGTCAAGTATATTTGTGGAGGTAATGATTAAATGTAGAAGAAATTCTGAGCTAGACTGAGTACTGACTAGCTTACTATGAAGGTGACAAGCTTAAAGAGGGAATTAGGGGGAAAGGAATTCCAGGTAAAGGAAATTATGTAATGCTGAAGATGTATAAAACTTTATGGCATATTTGAAGAGACTGTAACACTCTCATTCGAAGGTATCACAGTAGGCTAACATCTTGATTAATATTTTGACAGCAAGAGGTTGGGCATTAGGGGTTGGAGAACTGGCTCAGTGGTTACAAGAGCTTGTGCTTCAAGAATTTGGTTCCTATCACCCACATCAGGTCCCTTCTACCTGCCTGTAACTGTATCTCCTGGAGCTCTGGGGCTCTCTTCTGATCTCTGTGAGCACCTGCCCACCTTACACACACACACACACACACACACACACACACACACACACACACACACACACACACAATTTAAAATTAAAAAAGACTGTGGGCCAGATGGTGGTGGTGCATGCCTTTCATTCCAACACTCGGGAAGCAGAGACAGGAGGATCTCTGTGAGTTCAAAGCCAGCCTGATCTACAGAGCTAGTTCCAGGAAGGCTTCAAAGCTACAGAGAAACCCTATCTCGAACAACAACAACAAAGATTTTGGGTCCAAAGCAGGGGAAGAAGAGGCACATGGAACTGTTTGGGAAAATAAGCAATAGAATTTGTTAATCACTTGTAACCAGTGAGGGTGAGATAAGTCTCTGTCTCCTCAGTGGTAGGATTAAAGGCGTGTGCCACCATTGCCCAGATCAAACTAAATTCTTTCTATATTCTAGATTATTATCCTTGTCACATGTATAGATAGCAGATTTCTCTCTCATTCTCTAGGCTCTCTCTTCATTTTAAGTTAGCATACAAAATAAGGAAAAAAGTTTTGTGACAGGTTTTTAATACATGTGTACCATTCTATTGTGTTCTGATTTGTCTCCCTCCTCCATTGCATACAGCAATCTCAATGATTGGTTATATACTTGTAGGGTTCAAAATACATCATTCCAGTATTTTTGAGCTTTTCCAGTTTCTAATGAAAGATTGGGTGTCATTTTTATGCTTGTCTTTGTAGGTGAGTTGGAATTTACCCTTTAAAGGTATTAATATTGTTACTTTCATTGCTACTTTTGATATCTTAAGGAGAGATTCTTCACTGTTTGATGTATATTTGACTTTCCAAATGTCTATTGTCTTTGGTTTTCCATTTCCTCTAAATTTTGGAAATTTTCTGCCTTTATTTTTATTTTTAATCTTTGATCTTCCCTATACCTATTTAGTTTGGTTTCTTTGTTGTCTAGAGTCAAATATAGCATTCTCTTTAATATTCTTTCTTCAGTTTGTTAAAATTATTTGTTGATGCTTTCTACTTTGGTTTAAATTTGAATCATTGAGGTTTTCATTTTTAGCCTTTCTTTTTTCCCCTGAAAGGCCTTTTATTTGCTTCATTTTTCTTCCACGTTACAGGATGTATTGTGCACAATTCTGGTTTTCTTAAATTTTCTTCTCTATTGCTGACTTTCTCCTCCAGGTCTTAGATTGAATTCGGTTTGGTTGGAAGCATCACCCCAGACCCTGACATTCATTTTGGAATGTTTGATGGAAACTTCAATTTCAAGCCTCCTTTCCTGGAAGTTGCCTCAGTCCAAATTCCACCTCTGAGAAAGCCTGCCAAAAGGTGACACCTCCCTAGGGAGGGTCAAGACCACTCCCACAGACTATTTAGGCTGCCCCCTAGAGAAGGAACACGTGGTCACTCCAGTTGTTCTTCCCTCCCCCTCTGTGGTTTCCTGGTCTGGGGGAGGGGGCTGAAGGGCCACTGGGGAGTGCTGGCATCCATTAAACCTGGGCATTTTCTAATATGGTTTGATTTGGTCTGATTTGGATTATTGCCTTGGTGGAGAGATTTGTCAAGCCAGAAAAACTTTACAAATTCATGTACATATTTGTATATTCTTTGAGGTCATTGATTATTTTTACTAATAGACTTTAGAAATCTTCACACACTGTTTTACCAGTTTCAGTATCTTTGAATTCAGTAGTTGAGAAGTTATGATCTTCTAGAGGCTTTGCTTAGTTTTCTTTTTCATATTTTTATGTGGATGTTGGATTGGACTGCTATGCCACTTTTGTTTGTGCACCTTTTTATTGAGTTACCTAGTAGTTTTCCTTTTTATTGGGAGTATTTAGTAAGGACATTTCCATATAAATATATAACTTTTCAGGCTGGAGAGATGGCTCAGAGGTTAAGAGCATTGCCTGCTCTTCCAAAGGTCCTGAGTTCAATTCCCAGCAACCACATGGCGGCTCACAACCATCTGTAATGAGATCTGGTGCCCTCTTCTGGCCTGCACCACAGACAGAATATTGTATACATAATAAATAAATAAATAAATATTTAAAAAATATATATAACTTTTCATGTATTCCTCCTCATACCCCCTGTGCCATCTCCTTTATCACTCTCCACTCTGATTATTTCCTTCATTCCATTAGACAGTTTCGTTGCTATTCATCCATAATTTTATGTTTCCTTCTGAATTTAACATTTACAAATGAGAAAAAACATATTTGTTCCTTTGAGTCTAAATTCACTTAATTTTAGTATTTCTAATTGCACCCATTTTCTTTCAAGTGTAAAATCTTCATTCTTTTTTATACCTGATTAAAATTCCATTGTGTCCCTATGGTGGGATACATTGCTCAGTCTTCACACAGGGGGAGGGGCTTGATCCTAACTCAACTTCCTGTGCCAGGCTTTGTTTACTCCTTAGGGGAGGCCTTACCTTCTCTGAGGAGAAAATCGGGGTGGGATGGGAGGAAAAGGGGGTAGGAGGTAGGGAGGGAGGGAGGGAGAACTGGAATTGGTATGTAAAATTTAAAAAATTAAGAAAACAGAATACAGACACACATTACCAAAAAAATTTCCATTGTGTTTGTATACCACACTTTATCCATTACTCTGTTTACAGACACTGAGATTGGCTTCATAACTTAGCTATTGTGACAAGCACTGCAATAAACATTGATGCTTTATGGAGTCTCTGAAATTTAAGTTCAGAATTATTTTTAGGCATATAGGTGTCCCGTTGTTCTAGCTCCATTTGTGAAAAAGCCAATCTTTTCTCCATGTATTGTATTTACTCTTTGGTTCAAGGTCAGTTGACAATATTTATGTGTGCCTACATATGAGTCCTCTGTTCTGTTCAGTTCTATCTCTTCTTTGATCTATTACTACTACCCTGTCTCAGTTACTAGAGCTTCACAGAATGTCTTGAAAGTGTCCTTCTTCCAAAGTGGTTCTTCTTTAATATTGTCTTTGCTATTTTAGGACTCTATAAACT